TTATTTCTTTCTTTTAATAGATAGATGAAAGATCGGGTACGGCAGTTAATTCCCAATCGAGTAATTAAATAAGATTGATACTGCCGAAAAAAGAATATATTAATTCTTTCTATGCACGTTTGTTTTTTTTTTTTTTAAAAAAAAAAAAAAAAGGATTGATGGGATTAAACGCGATTTGCAAGGTATAATTTGCCTTTCGGACAATTTTGTTTTTGGTAGACAAGATTGACATTTTCCAATTTTTCTTAATTGCAGGAGATAAAAATGGAAAGAATGTCAGAGGAATCACCAAGCAATGTATAAATTAACAAATGAAATCTACATTAAGAAACGTATACATCAAAACTTACAACTTTTGGTACATCAATATATTGTTATCTCAAAATGGTTCGATTAAAAATCAAAACTCGGGATATGTTAATCGCGCAAGTCAATGCAAGTTAAACCACCATTCTGCAACATCATGCGCAAGATTAGTTAAGCATCGTACCTATTTGAATGTGGAAATGATGTGTGTGTAATACGGATAATTTTGCACCAGACCATCTGCTCCAGATAAGTAGATGAGGATGGTTATGGGAACTTAAAATGAAGGGGAAATAAGAAAGCCATCTGGCCATAAGTGTTAATTTATTCACACAAATGAATTGATCCTGATCATTCATGAATGTATTATAACAAAAAGTAAGGCAACTCTTCAAAGGAAGCAAATCATGCCATATTGATTAAATCTGATCTTTATATTTACCCAAATACAATAATTCATTGCATTGTTTCGCAACGGCAACAATATTTATAAGCCAGTCATATCTTGTTGCAGAGTATACGGCCATTCATCATGAAATTTTCTTGACAGAAAGAGAGTGTATTTCATTTGTTTTCCTATTTCGAAATCATTAAAAATGATGCATACCATGAGAAAAAAAAAAATCTTTGCTTTTACGTTGATTCTGGGTTCAAACTAAAAGTTTAATCTTTAAGTATCATATGATAAAGTCGATTAATCTGTAAATGACCAAGGTAAAAATCAGATGCAAGGAAACTAACAAATACGAGAGAACGAGTTTTGATTAATAATTTTTTTTTTTTTTTTTTTTTTTGATTCTCATGATTGGTATAATGGATGTAGCCTACTATTGGATTCTAGGCTTAAGAAGTAGTTTGCATGTATTGCATTGCATGGACATTTAAGAAGATATAGATGTAATGTATATGCATATTCCTTTACATTGTCTACTCAAGCTTATCTTTGCTTGTATATATTAATTCCTGTTGGAAAGAAAGCTCTCAACAAATGAAAAAATATTGCAGTCATTCGATGCCCGTCCGACCATGTCCATATGTAGTTTTATTTCTAATCCTTCAACTAAATATGCCAAAAATATATTTTTTTTTTCTGAAAATTCTGAAAAGGAACAATCATAGTAGTCTCCGAGTTCTTGACAATTGAATTGAAAACAATACCGTATGGCAAGTGTGGCAGTTTAATAATGTGGCGCAGTAAAATTTAAATGCCTTGCATCACCCTTAGTTTCTCATATAGATGCGATTTTGGTCAAAGCTTACTTTGAGCCTTTTCTCGTTAAGAATCTCACATGATTTTGCGGGGTAGAATAATGATCCTTTGTATTTCTCATTGTTTTTTAAAAAGATTTGGTTCAATTAATAAATCTAAAAAATTCTTATAAATTTTTTTTACGTAAGCGAAACTAAATATAAAGTTGGAATGTGAATAAACGCCAACATACGTTTTTACATATCATAATTGACACTGCGGCGCAGCGCATGAATTTAAGGATAATCCGTGTAAGGTTTCACCGCACTTTGCCTAATTTCGTAAATTCGGCTGAAGTGCAGATCATTGAGAGTTGGAGTCATCATCCATCGACCATGATGGATTATTGAAAGTCCCACCTTCATGAAGCAATATCTTTTACCTAACAAAGATATCAATTAATTATGGAAAGAAGGAAAAATGGCATCATTTGATTTCCCGTAAAAAAATATATCTATATATATATATTTTTTTTTTTTATTGGTATCAATAGTGTAAGTACAACATATTTTAATCGACAATTAGCATCTATTATCATCGGAATGTCATTAGCAATTAATTAACCTAAACGCTAAAAACGGGAAAACGCGACCTGTTTTTATCTGTAAATGTGGATAACATATGTATGAGGTAATAGCCTATAAATAATTCGCATATATACATATTGTTGACACGTTTTTATCAAAGGTTTTAAGTTTTGTACTTAAAGTACCTTTGTATAGTAGGTTCATTTGGTAACTTAAATTTAAAAATTCGATGATCAATATGTTCGTAATGTATTGTCAAATATATATATATATATATAACGAATCTTGACCTCTTGTGGATAAAATGTCTCATGATGTTGAAAACGAGTTCTTTTTAAGTAAATTGACCTGAACTTTATTTTTCGAATTCATAATTTTATGGTCATGGCGCAGTGAAACTATCTGATAAAATAAACAAGTTTTGACGATCTAAGGATGAAATGCAAGCCACTTTTTTAATTAGCTTGTGAATATACATATATGTTAAACATGTTATTATTTTATGTTGATTCGACAAAAACCAGTAAAATGGCTTGAAGGATATTGCTTACCAAATCATTTTTGTACCCTTGAACTAAAATAGAATTCTTATAATAGATCGAACTCAAAGGTGTGACTTACGGCCAAATTAACGCATTTATTGTGTGTTTTACATTTGAACAATTAAGCCTACAAGTATTTTAGTAAAACTAGCCTAGAAATTAACTATTCATCTTCGCTTTTAACTTTATGATGACTTTTCGCGTTTTTCCTCCAATTCCTACGAATTGCTGCGGGATAATTGGCAACAGTTATGTTTACGGGGAGTGAAATTTGAAACATAATTTTACTCGTGGAAGCGATATCGTTTGACAGTCTCCAATTAATTTTTACTTTAACGAGAAAATGACGGGATATGTCAGGACATTCCTATGAGCGACTGTGTATTCGATTGAAATTAAAATAAACCCCTTTTAAGGAATATCCACGATAAGGGGTTAGTTTGTCGTTGTGTTTACCATGCATGAAAACCCGATAGGTCGATGTCGCGATCAATTTGAAGTCTGTCAAAAGATGTCTTATTGAATTGTATTAACATAAATATGTATTAGACTGTGTAAATCTTTATTTTGTCCCTTTGTCGTTTAATGGAATGCACTTTTTTTAGAGGTCGTTCACTTTTATACTTATTAGCCATTTTGTAGCACGAACATATCCACGAAATATTAATTGCAGCATTACATAAGCAACTATACAAACGGTTCAGGAATTTCAATAAACCTGGTTTGATCTCGTTCGGTTATAAATCGAATTCTCGGGTTAACACGATTTAGTCTACAAATTATAATTTCGATCACATAATTCGATAGCCTTTTTTATTTTATCGATTCCCCAAAAAGCGTTAACGGCAAAGTGGGTATATTTTTGGATCATAAAAACTGCATAAAATAACGTTTCACGACCCATAATTCGTTTGTACCACGGGACACAATGCGCAATTATTGTGTGAGAAAAAGTTCCCGGTTCTGGCATCTGGTATTTTTCACTGGTAACACTGGTATTTTGATATGAATTGATTTTACCGAATATTGTTTCAAGTACAATGGGAACTGGGTGTAAAGAAATTGGCTTTCTGATATTTAATGCACGAGTCCAGAAAAGGGTATGTTAATTTTTTGATTTACATTTTTGTTTGTTTTCAAAAAAAAAATTTCAAGGGTCCATTTATTTGCCACATTTGCCACTTTTTTAAATTATATTTATTCCTAAAAAAGGAATGCCCCGATTCTTATCAGTTCTTGTTGTTTCCCATTTATCTTTTAATTTAGCACTACAACTTTCAACAATAGGTCCTGTTTTGAATAGCAATCGTTATATTATTGTTACTCATTTGATTACCAATATATTATATTTTGATGATAATTCATTAATCAAGCCATTTACTATATATGTTAGTTGTGATCTAAACAAAAAAAAAAAAGGTGACATTTCGATTCTTACCATATGTGGAGAAATACTTGTTATTTTTTTTTTATATTGCGTAAATTAATTTTTTAAGTTCATTATAATAATAAAATAAATAAATAGAAATAAATAAATATATATTAAAAAAAAAAAAAAAAAAAAGAGTAATATAATTTATGTTTCGCCGTTTTTTTTTTTTTTATTACTTTGTTTATTATTGTATTTTAAAACTGTCAAGTGTTGTTTGGGATCGACAACATGTTTTTTTTTTTCAAGAGAAAAAAAAAAATTTTTTTAATTTAAAAGTCAAAGGGGGAAAGTATAATAACACTTACTATAATTTGCTAAGATTTTATTTCAAGTTGGTAACAAATAAAATTTTTTTTTTTTTTTTTTTTTTTTTTTTTTTGGGAATCCATGATTATTATAAAAGGGCCACTCAAAGCTCGAAGCTTGCTTCTTGCTTCTGAGTATTGGTGAGCACGGCCAGTCTCCATTTCGATCTTATTGAAATAAATTTAATGTGAACCCGTTCTTAAATAACGACCTTGTTATTAATTCACCATTTGTTTGACGAAAATTTTTTAACTGTAATGAACCAACATTTAATAAGAATTAAAAAAGAAATTCAAAACTTTTTTTTTTAACTGGTCCAACCGAAATCCCTATCACAACCCCTTACGATCCAAAATTAATTAATAAATTACTCAAGTCGAGTTCAATTTATTAGTAATAGTACTTTAAAAAAAAAAAGTCAATTGTGTGCCATTTTCGTCTATTACAAATATTTAACAAATAATTATCACGGGTATCCAGAATAAAATATATAAAGCCCTTCCTTTTTGCCACAGCAATTTTTTTTTTTCCTCATCTCGAAGAGAAATTATCTTTTTACGATTCTTTACGACCTTCATAATTTATCCTTTTCTACAATTTTTTTTTCTTTTTTTAAAAAGAAACGTCTCTGATTTGTCATGTCTTCAATTGATCATCAAAACTGTGCTAATAACGCCACAATCGATATTGATCAAAGGTCCATTTCCCAGACCACCGATGATTGTGGCTCAAAGCGAAAGAGAAGAAATACGATTCATATCCTCATTCATGCGACTATGCAATTACTTTCTTCTCCACCCACTTCTCCTACTTCTATTAATTCTTCAAAAGATCTCTGCTCTTCACCATTTTCGATAGAATCTAATGAATCATCGTATTTTTCATTTCCCGAATTTGAAACTTTTAATGATGAAAATAGTCAAGAACATTTGGGATCTCGAGGAGAAGATGACAACATGGTAGTTCAAATGGAACAATTTGATGAGATGTATGTTAACGGAATTCGATTGCAAAAGTGATGATCGTGTGATATTTGATGACGTGTTATTTAAATTATAAAAAAAAAAATTTCTGTGGAATTTATATATATTTTTTTTCACTACGCATAATTTTTATTTACGAAACTCACCAAAAGAAAAAATGATGTTTAAATTATTTACACCTCGGAAAGGGGAAGAAAAATATTTTTTTCTTCTAAATTTATTATTTATTTTACTATTTCAACAAACTATTTAATCTCGTGGCTGGCAAAAACGTATGATTAACAAAAATCCCCTCACATATATTTATGACAAACAAAAATAAAGCGGAAGAAAAAAAAAAAATTTTTTCGGAGGCAAATTATGATTTTCAACTATATGAATCAAAAAAAAAAAAAAATCGATAATTTATATTCGAAAAAGTTCCAAGGCTCGTAAGCCTTTTTTTTTTTTTTTTTTTTTTTTTTTTTAAAAAAAAAAAAAATTGATCGGATAATAATAAAAAAGGGGAACGAAACGTTATGTATTATTCTTTTTTTTCGATTTTCGGACAATCAACATAAAGATCATACTTGGGATCTTTTTTTATCGAACGATGAACGGACGACTTGTTCAAATAATTTTCGGACGGACAACATTTCAATACTGGAAGAAAAAATTTTTTAGTTAAATAAAAAAAAAACTCGAAAATAAAAGCGTATTCAAATAAAGACACTAGATGTCTTTGTCGGCGAGAATCTGGCAGCAATGATATTAAGAATATAGACGATAAAACAATAATAGGACTAGATTTATGTCTCCGAAATAAATTTGGTCCTTGATGACTTATTATCATTCTGTCACTCTTTTTTTTAAAAAATGATTTAATATCGTTAAATACCCTTGCTTTTTTTTTTTTTGAAAAAATGCCTGGTATTCAAATATATAAAAACGAACATTTTTCTTTACTTTCTCTTATTTATATTTTATTTTTTATTTTATTTTATATATCTATTGGACATTCTGTATATTTTTTATTTCTCATTTTTAAACCCTAGCTCTCTGATCGACTTACCAAACTTTTAATTAAAATTCCGTACAAATATTCATTTTCTTTTATTCTTTTTTTCATTTGATATTTTTTTGCTTTTAATTTTGTCCTTTTTTTTTCGTTGTGTTGTATAGTATATAACTTTTTTTATAAGCACCGTGAACAAATTTTTATTTTCTTTATTTTTATTTTTTGTAAATATAAATTTTTCGTAACAAAAAAAAATTAATTCTCAAACAAACCATTAAGCTAAACAATAAAAACAATCCGAACATAAGGGTTACGAAAAATATAATCACTTGACTTTTTTTTTTTTTTTTGGTCTTTTTTAATGATAAACCTAAAATATGTACGAATAATGGCTTTAACTTTTACATTTTAATTCATTCAAGGTTAGTGTGAGAAATTTTCGTCTCCTTGAATAGAATTTCGTAATTGTACGCGCACGGACTTCCATCATAAATATCCCGATAAAATTTTTGCCAAAGAAATGTGTGAGACCTTTCAAAATTTTTTTGAGTGTGGCGCGCCCTAAGACAATAGTTTTTTTTTTAGGTAAAAAAAAAATAACCTTTTCTAATTATATTATATCAAGTAATTGAAAAAGGAAACAATAAAAATATATTCATACAAATTACGAACCAAATCAAGAAAAGACCCTTTATCCAAAAGAGGATCTCTAAGAACGCCAATAATCAATAAAGACGCACAGATCATAAATAACCATGTGTTTTTAAAGATAAAAAATATTCTAGAACATGTATTGTTGTGTTTGTTTATTCTATTTTAATAAAAAAATGGGTTTGATGTGATGGTTTTGATTTCACTGCGTCACGGAAAATTATGTGTCGGAGGAGAAATCTAGTTATGTTAAATTTCATCATAAAAATGTGTCATCTGAAGGTTAAAGTTTATATGGCTACATTGTTGTTTATTAATTATATTTATTATATTGCAAGTAAATTATTAACAATGGCAACTTATTATCTCTTAAAGAAATGTGATATTTAATACATAATTAGCTAATTATAAATGAAGCATAAGAGATTTATAAACCTACTTACCTGGATAATAAGTATACAATAATTATTTTAAAAAATGCAATTGTTATAGTAAATTTTAAAAAGTTTAATTTAAAATGTTTAGATAGTTTTATGCAATATAAATAAATTTATTAAATATCTAATAAATCTAGGTTGTTTGTAATTAAAATTAATAGTGTCTAGAAATAATAGATTTTATATATAATATTTATTTTTAAAATCACTTATATGATTTAAACCTTATAATGAAATTTTAACAATTATAAATTTTAATAATCTTAATAATTTGCAATTTTATTTTAAAATTTTAATATATATGAAATTTAATAACAATATTCTAATAATACTTAATCATTAATTATTAATTTTTAATTATTAAATAGTTAGAATTCTATATAATTTTTAAATCTAAAATTTTATAATAAAATTATATATTAGGAATTTATTTAATTTATTTATTATATAAATTTATATTCTGTAATTTTTTATAAGATTATACTATTATTTATACATTTATATATAAAATTAAAATTAAAATCAAAAGTCAAAATAATTGACTTGAAAAATCTAAAATTGAAATAAAATTCAAAATAGTTAAAATAAATTATTTAAATTAAAAAAAAAAATTTCTTAATAAGCTAATTTAATATATATAAAATCATAAATTTTAATTATTAATTATTAAATTAAAATAAATCTATTTAATATATTTATAATAGAATATTTAATCAATATTTATTATAGAAATATAAAATTACTACATTTTATTAATTTTTTAATTACTAGATGCTAAGGTAATTAAATATAATATTTAAATAATTCTAAATCATTATTTTAAGCATTTTACAAAAAAATTTGCCTGCAATTTATTTAATAATTAAAATTATTTATAATAATTTTAAATATTTTTAAATAATTTATTTAAAAATGAATATTTTTATAATAAATTTTATAATATTTTCTAAGTAAAGATTCAATAAAAAATGTAATCAATTGGTGATATTTTAATGATAAATATATAATAATTATTATGAAAAAAACTTAAATTTTTAAATTTATATATCTTACTATTTATTAATCTCAAAAATATGAAAATATAATTATTTAATAGATCTTAATAAAATAAATCTAATAAACTAAATTTTATTTTTTTTGAAATTATTAAATAATAAGTTATTTTAAAAAATTGAAAAATTAAAAAATTAATATACAGAGGGTGATCACGGATACCCGAACGATTAATTAAACTATTTGAATATACTTATTATATTAACTTTTT